CCCTTCGTAGTTACATGTTCGATTTTTGTAATTTTTGTGAGTTCTGCCATCACCTTATTTTCGAACTCTCCACCCTTATCAGATAATATTGTTTTGGGCCATCTACATCCCTCTGCTATCCACCTTATGAATAAAACCTTTGCTATCGTTTCAGCCGTTTTGTCCGGAACCGGATATGCTGCCGCATACTTTGAGAAGTGGTCAATGACCGTAACAGCATATCTGTTTCCGCTTGTTGTCAGGCCAAGTTCCAGCACGTCAATCCCTATGATTTCGTACGGCTTCTCCGTAACGATTGGTTTCAGCGGTGGTCTCAGTGTTGCTCTTGGGTTATGTAGAAAGCACCGTTGACATTCTCTTGTCCATTTACTTATGTCTGCTAGCATGTTAGGCCAGAACACCTGTTTCTTGAGTCTGTTCCATAACTTATGAGCACTAAAATGTCCGGAAAAGTTCCCCGCATGTGCTTCATGAAACACTTCATATCTTGCGGTTTTAGGTACTACCATAACCAAATTCCCTTCCTCCTGATACATCTTCAGTTCCCCGCTTTCGATCTCGAAATCGGCTACTTGTATAGGATAGCGCAACCCTGGTATTTTTATCGATTTGCCCAGCTCTCCTTTTTCCAACATGGCAATAACCGGACCAAAAACCTCATCATTTTCTAGCTCTTTTAGCCACCTACTTCTTTGTTCTACCTCTAGTCTACTCACCACGGCCTCACTTGCGTCCGCATTTTCCCAGACTCCACGCTCTATAGAGCCCCTACTTAAAGCATCTGCTACGATATTAGTCTTTCCCTTCACATACTTTATTACCAAATTGTATCTTTGCATTTCTAGTGACCATCTTAGTACTCTAGCCGATACGTTACTCCTACTGAAAAGCGCTGTCAAGGGTTGGTGATCTGTCAGAACTATAGTAGGAAGTCCGTATATGAACATGTGGAAGCGTCTTACCGCGAACACTACGGCTAAAGCTTCCAAATCAGTAATGTGGTACCGCCTCTCTGCCTTGCTGAGTCCTTTCGAGGCAAAGTATACTGGGTGTACTAGCCCGTCGTCCCCCTCTTGGGACAGCACCGCTCCTAACCCTACCGTAGATGCATCTGTGCATATCACGAATGGTCGGGATCCTTCCCTTGCTTTCTCAATATCCGGCTGCATCAATACAGGCGCAGAGGCTATCATTTTCTTCAGCTTAGAAAATGCTTCTTCATGCTCTGCCTCCCATTTCCACACAGTTTTGGGTGAGGTCAACGCAAATAAACTCCCCGCAACCTTGGAAAATCCAAGGCAGAATTTGCGGTAGTATGATGCCATGCCGAGAAATGTTCTCAGCTCTTTGGAACTTTTCGGCACCGCATACCTCTCGATTGCTTCTACCTTTTTGGGATCCATGTGCACTCCTTCACAGTCGATCACATGCCCCAAGAACGCCACTTTTTCTTGCAACAAAACGCACTTCTTCGCCTTCAATTTTAGTCCCGCTTCTTGCAAGCTTTTGAATACCTTACCAAGTAGCTCAAAATGCCTCTCTCGTGTGTTTGTACATAAGATTATGTCGTCGATGTAGCAGAAAACTTCATCCCCTAATACATCTCGTAGTACTGAATCCATAAGACGTTGGAATACCGCTGGACTTGTACTCAACCCAAAAGGAGTTACTCTGAACTGGAACAACCCTTCTGTTGTCGTAAATGCCGACTTCTCCCTTGCTTCCTGTGCCAATGGTATCTGCCAGTACCCCGAACATAAATCTAGCGTGGAGAAAAATTTCTTGCCTGACAGGCTCTGTAGCACTGCATCAATCGTAGGCAGTGGATACGAGTCAAGCTTGATCCTTTTGTTCAACTCCCTGTAGTCCACACATAGCCTCAAACTACCATCCTTCTTCTCCACTAACACTATCGGGAATGCCCAGGCTGAACTACTTTTTTCTATGATCTTCCGATTCTCCAGGTCCTCTAGAAGCTCCTTTAGCTTTTTGCGGATCCCTAGTGGCACGGGTCTGGTTTTCAGCTTCACTGGTTTAGCATCACCAGTTTCAATGGACATCTCTACTCTGTCCGTTCCCGTCAATTCTGTGTCGAATACAGCAAACGCCTCCTCGAATTCGTCCACTAATTGTTTCAAGTCGCCATCCAGCTGCTCTACCTTGGAACCTTCCCTCAGCTGTGCATACAGGATGTTACGGCGTTCCTCCCTATCGAGGTGTGGTATCTCACTGTCCATCATTAGTGGATTCATTTCTTCCCACTTACTTTTCCATTTCTCTGTTCCCCATTGTCCTAACTCCTCTCCTTCTTTAAGGATCATTGGCTTCTCCGTGGTGTTCATGACTGGAATGTCCAGTTCCTGATTCTTCACTGTGAACACCCCGACGGGTAGGTCCTCCCTACTTGGCCACACTACCCTCTCTTCTAGTTCACTGCCTCCTTCACATCGCGCCGGCACTAGTATTGAGTTATGTGGAGGAATGTACACCCGCTTTGTTACTACTACTCTTTTCCCGTCGAGCACATCCTGTTGCCTTTCCTCCGTTTTGAGTATTATATCGACTCCCAAGGCTGCCAATGCATTCGTGCCGATCAGTACATCATCATCCTTGACATCCGATATGTGGAATGCTACTATGCTCTTCTTTCCCCCTTCTAATTTTACAGGGACTTTAACAGCTCCCAGGAAGTTCATCCTGTTGGTCGAGGCGTCATATACCGGGTTTAACTTTCTGTCGGGTATCACCTCTAAAACATCTACGTCATAACCTGCCTTCTTCGCGCGTGCCAGCACCCCCACAGGAACAATGCTAATCATCGACCCTGTGTCCAGTATAGCTGATACCTGCAGATTTAGCATGCTTATTTGGGCCGCACATTTCTCACCTACCAATGAACCTTTACTCCCCATATATACCTTAAGTCCTAGGCTCGTCGCTTTACCTATCACTTCGGTCAGGTTATCCTGTTTTCCGTTTTGCAGGAACCCCTTAGTTTTCTCAATCTGGTTTACTTGCGTGCGCTTATACGGACACTCTCTCCCAATATGTCCATATCTTCTACAATTGAAACATCTTCTCTGATCCGTGCCTCCTCTTTCCTCAGGCCTTCCAAGCTTTTCTTGACAAGCCGGCTTCCCCGAACAACTTGTCTTCCTCCATGCCACTCCTCTTGTAGCTCTATTTTGATCCACTTCCACACATCTACTCATATCTGTCCTGCTGTTCACAGTTATTGTCCTTTGTTCGTCTGGCTCTTGTAGTTCTTTCCCACTGTGCTCATGGAACTGATACCTCTTTTTCCAATTGTACCTTTTAATTTCGTTTCCGCCGTCGAGCATTTCCTTTGATTGCTCTATGCTTAACGCTAGCTGCTTTACTGTATTATAGGCTTCCTGCGGCTCTACGCTGTGAATTGCGGTGAGCAGTTGCGTATGCTCCGGCCACCCCCTCAAATTATCCATCAAAATTTGTGCATACTCGAGTGACCGGTCCCCTACCGAAGCGGTAGGATTGGCTTGCCTTCCCAGCTTCTCGAGCACAACACAAAAATCAGCCACGCTCTGGCCTTCCCTACGTTTCAGCTGCCTGAGGTCTGCTAATGCCCGTAACCTCCCCGCTGTTGAGTCGTTAGCTAAGAGTCTTTTTAGTGCTTCCGCTACGCTTTCAAAGCCCTTCGCTTTGATTTCTTCTGGAAGCGCTAAAAATACACTTTTCGCCCTACCTTCGAGGTGGTCATCCCCCATAATCTCAATTAGTACCTCATCGTCCCTTATCACCCCTCGATATTTCCTTTTAAACCTTCTCAAAAATTCTTCGAAATTCTCGTGCCGGCCACCCCTGAACACTCCAGGGTTCACGCATGCGTTGGCCTGCATGAGAGCTAAGAGACTCTGGGACTGACCTGTCTCCGCTACGTCCTGCGAATGCTGTCTCCAGAGCCACTCTGAGTGGAGCCCATTCTGTGTCGGTGCGGACCTTGCTCTGTTCTGAAAGGAATCCGAGTGAGTGCCACTACTACTGTATCCTTCCATATTGTTCTTACCTTTACTCGGTCCCACTTCCATGCTATCTTCCATTTCTCGTGGCTTGTTAAGCACACTCTTGTGCATTTCCGACAAGACATTCATTACCTGCAATACATCCGTATTGAACATCTCGCAAATATCATTTATCATTACTATGTCTTTTTCCGATGTTCTAAGAAACTCTTCTAAATCTAATACTGACTCGATGTCCCTTGTGAGTAGTAGGCTACACAAATTTCCCACAAAAAGTCTTATGTGGTTCCATTCCCCCTTCATTTTGTTTAATTCCCCACTTATTATCGTTGTTTGTTCTCCCAATACTCGCTCGATTTGTTCCCTATACTTCCCCGCTATTCTTGCATCTTCTGTTTCTTTTCGCACCCCCTCGGGAAGTGTCTGTATTGTTTTCTGTGTGTTCTCCAATCTGGCTACCATATCCGTAAGTATTTCTTCTAAATTCCTGATACTCACCTTTTTACCCGGGGCGCTAACAGTCGCGGAACTAGCCCCTCTTGGTGTCTTTCTGGCGGCACTCGAACCTTCCGCCATCTGGAAACAATCAATGATTTCCTTGTCCGTACCCTCACGTTGCGACATTATTGCGAAATCTCAATCCCTATCGATCGGTTCGGCCCCCATGTACCCCTCACCGGGTTCTGCGATAGGGATTCTACGGCTCTAAGCCGGAATTACAGAACAAGAAAATCAAACAACAAAAGTTTACTACAGAACAACGACGGAAAACAACAAGGAACGAGACAAAAAAAAGAAAGCCCGATCAAGGCAACCGCATGAGATGAGAATGATATCAAGTCTGAGATCCTTCGCGGGAGAAATGCGGGTCTCGGCGCGCACACCCTAAATATCCCTGTGGTTCCCGCCATAACTTCGCTTCGCGGGCTTTTCGTACGTCGATCTATCGAACGGCCCTCTCCACAAATCGACTTTGTACACTTTTTATTATTATGGCTGCTATATAATCGAAGAGAATCGCAAAATATATACGTACAAATGGATCAATCACATTCAATAAAAGCCTCTCAAAATTGCCTCATGTATTTTCACAGCATTTGCTTTATCATCGTATGGTTGAGTCACTTTGACTACCTCACCGCGGTGTTCGTCTACAATACTGCCAAAGTCACCTTCTAAAAAAGCAATGATTTAGCTTACTTATGAAATCTTAGTGATTACAGCTTAGCATAGTACAACAACAGCCACTGATAAAAATTTGGATTCTCACCCGCTAGATTCACAACCACGATTCTTTTGTAGTTGTACTCTGGTGCAACTTTGAATCCGACAGTATTGGACCTATGAATGAAGTTATCAATTAGTCATCAAAGCCTGCGCCAAACTGGAATACTTTTCGTGAAAACGTGGGATATGAGTTCTAGTTAGAGTAAATGGTGGCACTGTATGAGTAAAAAAATTACTTTTAGCAATCGTTATTATATGGTTGTCCGGAAAATAATGTTGCTCGTGTTTTGCCATACAATATCGCGGCAAGGTGAGCATGAAATTAAGTAGGTGAGTAATCATCCGATAGAGCAAAGCAAGCTCTACAAAACGACGCTTAAGCGTTCGCGCTAAGGTTGATTTGCGTAAAGTTTGTGCCCAAACTTAACACCACTAAAGGCCCAAAAAATTTCAAAAAATCATATTTTCGTTCCTCAGAATTCCAAACTTGCTCGCGCACCAGTCTCTACATCAGACACTCGTGTGCACAGGTTTGTGGCTTTCCCATAGCTAGAAATCAAAAAAATAAACAGCATGCTTTTGCCAAAACAATCGTGAGCTTCTTTCAAATAGGTGGTCTATTTCTATTTAGTATAAACTTTTTGGAAGTATAAACATGCAATTTCCGCCTTCAACAAGGTTTACTTTTAGAAAATAATCAGGTATTTTGCAAAAACGCCGAAAATCCCGCATTATGGCACTCTTGACCTAGTTATATTCTCGTGTTTAAGTGGAATTCCACAAACTGTACACGTGAATGTCTGATGTAAAGGGTAGATGCTGCGCGAAGTGGAGATCTCTAAGACAATTATGGACGGAGATACATTTTTTGGGTATACGAAATTTTTTTTGGATTTGAACTCCAGGTGGAACAAACTTTCCGCAATAATATTCCATGTTGTAGAGCTTGCTTTGATCTTTCAGACGATACCCTACTCACTGTATTTCTTGATTACTCTGTCGCGGTAGGGTGCAACGCGACATCATTTTCCGGGCAGCATTGAGCGAATTCAAGGTTGATATCAATTCTTCATTTGCCAACATTTCGGCGCTTTCGCCTTTGTCAGAGCCTAAAAACCGAAGTCATATGAACACTCGTTTAGAAGTCAACAAAAGATTCAAAGTATCACCGAAAAATTGTCCTATAATTAACATCTGCCATAAAATCAATTTTTGCAAAGTTATTGGGAGTCTTAAATGAGTCTTCTGCGCAAAAGGCAATTCTTATAACCCTAAAACAGTGTAGCAAGAATGGCGCAAAAGGCGTACAAGAGTGACGAAAAGCAGCAGATTGTAGGACAAATCAATTTTCAAGTAGCAAACTTCTTCATTCTGATATTTGATGAATAAAATGCTGTTGTTTATGCTTTGAAATAAGATGTAGATTTCGGTGGATACGAAAGTTTGTGCCGTTTTTTTCGATCTATCTTCAAATCATTCAGAATAATGATAGACAAACACTCTTAGCACTGTTCTATGCACAATCTCCAACCCACCCATTTTACGTACCATAAATTCAGCTATTTTTGATGATTTTTCATTTTGGATTTTTGAAAAGATTCGATAGCATTTGGTAGAGCGTATAAAATGCTAAAATTCAATTTTTTGGCAATAGCTAGCTTTTCAGTACCTCTAAAAACAAGTTTTCCAGAAGTCTTCAGATTTGACGAAGTCGTATAATATACAAACGCTTTGAACACTATGAAATCCGCGCAAATTGGAACTATGTTTAAACACTAGTTTTTACAAACAAATGAGTTTTTACCGTCCCAAAGTATTGATTTTTAGAATTTTCGGATGCAGCCTGAGATCATTAAAAGACTAGATATGGCAATTTTTGACTCGACGCTTTTACGAATCAGAAAGAAAAACATCTGTCAAAAAGAGGAGAATAAGCTGCATCGAATGACGCCCTAGCTGTTTGCCGTCTGATGTTCTACGAAATTGAGATAAACAACTATTAAATTTGGTAGCATTAAAATGATATTTTTGGAAAATTCAGCTAGCTATCGATCCAAAAAATTGTATTACATTGCACCTTTTATTTCATAAGTCCAGAACTAAAATTTAAGAATACCAATAGTTAGGGCAGCTAAAAACCATGGATTGAAGAGTCTGACAATTTTTCATGTGAAAAAAAAAATCCGCACAAACACATAACTGCTGAAAACAGAAAGAAATTCTGCATAGGGCAGTGTTTGGAATGTCTCTTTATCGTTATTCTGAATGATTGAGGACAGGTCTTAAGAACGGCACAAACTTTCGGACCCATCTAAAATGGTCTGATAAATAATGATTAACGTATAAGGCACATTGGGTGGCTTGGCACAGAACTGGCCATCTTTTCGGAGCTGTATGAAAAGGAGATAGATGGGTATAAAGCATTGCTAGCGCAGCCTGAGATGAACACATTGAAGCTATGTATGAAGAGTTCAATCAAGAATCTCTAACATTGTTCGTTCTCTGCATGTGGACAAAAATTCGGTGTAATCACTGTTGTCTCTCATAGACAATGCATCTGTTCCTCTAAACACACTTTTAAATTCCCGGCCAGGGCCCGGCACAGATCGTCTGGAAAGGCTGGACTTCGTTTTTGGAGCAAAAAGCAAAGGAGATATCGTTTTTGACGCGAGGCCCAGCACCAAGAAAAAGCGCCATTTAGTCAAACACAAGCTTTTCGGACAGGTTATCACACGATTGACATGCTCTATCGTGTATGACGAAAAGTGCGTGCGATTTGAAAGCAAGGCTTAAATAAACAAATTGCTTGTTTACAGCGCAAACATAATCATATGACACTAAAATAGAACTGTATGTGTAGAAAATTATTTGCGAAAGTATTATGTAAAAAGATTTGAAAACTTATATGAAGTAATACCTTTTCCAAAATTAGATCGTCTCCACACGGCCACCAGACGATCTGAGATCGTCTGGAGCATATATTTCTGCCCCCTTCACATAAGTTTCTGATCTTTTTAGCATGGACGGATTCCCCGGTCAAAAATCTATCCATGAGCATAGAAACATTTTCATATCATTGGCTTTCCTTTGTTTTTTGCCTTCATTTCTTCTCGCTTCGTTAAATATTGCGCTCTATTGCCAAGGTCTTGTGCGTGCGTAGTATTCAGCTCCAATTTGGATTTTCACTCTTATCTTACGTCTTTTCTTTCAGACTAGTAAACTTGTATTCATCTTCTCCTAAGCAGGTTGGTCAAGAAAGACTTCGTAAAACTTCCGAAAGTCAGGGGAGACTTCGTTTTTAGAAACCCTAGAAACCTACTCGTGCCGGGCCCTGTTCCCGGCCTGTACTCGTGTGCTTAATAATGCGATTGTTGACACTGTCCTGACTTGGCCGAAATTTAGTGAGGTTGGGTGGAAGAGAAATTTGCATGTTGGAGCTTGACACTTTGAGAGTGGCTTATGATCGCTCTAATGTTTCAATTTTCCCTGCAGTAGGTCATAAATTTCGACTCTCCAAGAGGGTACCAATCAATAGAGTAAAGCAAGCTTGCAGGTATTATCTATATATTACTCAAAGTTTGTTTATGTTCAAAATCGGAAACTGAAAAATTAGAAGAATAATATCTTCGTCTAAAAAATCCAGGACATTTTGTTTGCGCTAGCATTTACTCTTCACACATTCATCTGTACATTTGCTCGTTTCATCCATGCTGGAAAAAAAGCAATAATTATGTTTTCGTCAAAGTTGTGATGGATGCTCTGACAGAGAAAATCTATAGTACGCTGATCATAATTACAGATTTTCCTCTCTTCGTAATTGCTAGTTTTTAAGGAAAATCAAATTTTGCTAAAAAAGACGACTAGCATCCTTGGTCTATTTTCATCTCTCTGTGTTCACGAGAATAGTCTTGAGAAGAGAAAGTTTTGAGAAGTGAATAGAACGCATCAGATGTACATATAATTTTTAAATGTGAGTTTATGCATGAGCAATCAGAGTTCCGCAAGTTTTTCTCCAAAAGAAGGCATCGTTTTTTACATTCTGGCCTCTACTCTAAGCTGAACAGATCTTGTGCATATGTTTGAAATCTTACTTGTAGAGCTTGCTTTGTTTTTATCGGAAAAACTTGTTTAGATAACAAATTATGATTCAACAGAGCAGAAAACTGTAAAAGTTTTACAGAACACAAACAAAGACAACTACTAAACGTACTTCTCTGAAGTTTTTTCTAACGCACCACTTCGAACCCGCAAAGATGATATCCTCTTTGTTTTTTTCTTGCCATCCGCAGCTACTAGACTACTTTTGAATGTTATATCCATCCGAATTGTTGAATATTTGAAAAATTTCGAAATGTAGCGCATTTGTCCTCTACTAAATGGCGTAACTAGGCAAAGCTATGTCTTACATGGCTGATAAGAAGACCAAGCAGTTTGCCTTTTCATTGAGATCACCAGTTGTGTTGATAGCCTTGAATATACTAAAATAATTTCTTTCTATTGTGTTGTCGGAAAAAAGTGTGGATTGTCTGAGAGAAGTCATTTTAAACGCACCCCACATTGTAGTTGGCTTCAGGACCTGCATGTGGAAATAGTCTATCACTTTTGTAAGTCATCATCTCCCTCAGAGTTCCAGAAAATTCCAGCCACTCGGTGGCAGATTTATTAAACATCTTTTGAAAATGCTCGGTGTGAGTGACGTGACCATAAGCCCAAATTCCTGCATTGTTTCCCCGTTTTTCGAGCAGCATTTCGCCCGCTTGGTCAAGCATCGCTCTCTCCTAGAAAACATGTTGATGTAACAAAACCACTAGTAACCGAAAATGTGGGTCGGATGAAGTGATAACTTTAACCCATTGACGACGACGCCTAATTTTGCGCTTCGGCGCTGTGGGACGACACGACTTTGCACAAAACTTTCAGTGTGGGAAAGTTTTGTGCTTATTTGCCAAGTGCAACGTTGTTTTGTAAACAACTATTAAAATTTTCTTGAAGGACAGAGCCTACAGGTCCCAAAAGACAAAAAATTGGAAAAAATATTGATATGTGGAAAAAATGCTAGACTTGCAAATAATACGACTTTGCAGGAGGTGTGGGCCACCGGGGGTTCACATCGTCCCTGGCAGCAAAAAGCGCGTAGGCCACCGGTGGTCCACATCGTCGTCAGTGGGTTAAAGGCAGCGTCCAGGCAGATCTGGACCTATGGGGCTTTTACGTGGAAAGTACTTTTGGGGCCCTAACTGAGGCATTGCCCAAGCGGCAGCTCAGGTAGTGCTCTAATGGCTCAGATATCCCCCTCGAAACTGGCCCCCGCGAACGTATTCGCATGGATTCATGGCAGTTTCGCGCCAGGATCCACGCTTTGCGCCACGAATCCATGCGAAACACGTCGCGGGGTCCAGTTTCGAAGGGAATATCGCAGCCATTACAGCACTACCTAAGCTGCCGCTTGGGCAGTGCCTTAGTTAAGGCCCCAAAAGTACTTTCCACGTAAAAGCCCCATAGGTTCAGATCTGCCTGGACGCTGCCTTTAAAAGGAGGATATTTTTTATGCGTCACTCACATCTTCGTAATTAAACGGGCTGGTCGTTGTGTCGTTGCCTAGATTGAATACGTCCCCAACAAACATGCAGTGGATTGGTGCTGAAATATTGATCTATAATGCGATATATTAATCAAATGTTGCAGATTTTACGCAAATAATTGTAATTGTAATTCAGACTTCGTAGATGGTGACATATTGGGTATTGCTAGGAAGCCCGCAAAACGCAAATTCAACCCTGCCCTACATTTCGTTCTCCTAATATCATTGTCCATGATGCGAAGCGAGCAAAGGCCAAAAATTCGCGAAGTTGATGGAAATTTTCTAAATGTGAACCTAGCTTTGAGTGCAGTCGCATTTGAAACGAATCTAACTGCTTTTCTTTCTGACTCACACTCTTCTAAATGAAACGGCAGTTTTGTAAGATGTAAGACGGAAAAGCAACTTTGCTCACGCTTTAGGCCCCCTTGGTTCGCACATTTAGTAATGGGCAACATCTCTTATGTACGTGACTATGAAATACGCTCTACTATCAGAATCGTTTGCGTAATGCTCATCTTATTCACAGTCTTCAGTGTCACGTCCAAAAATGTTGCTCAGAAGGCCGTGCTAACAGCCTCATAAACAAGGTCAAATGTGGGGTACGGCACGCCATATTTAGTTCGTAATCAGCTGCCAGACAAAGAAGGGAGTTGCAAAACCGAGTGGATTCTGATGTCAAGGATAACATGATGTTTGTCCGCATTATGTCAGATAACCCATTTTGCAAAATACAAAGACACAGATGTTGACTTATCATAGAATACTTACCGGTAAGGATGATAGGCCTTGATAAGCTTAGTAAGTACCATTTGTGATAAGTATATCAAACAAACTCTGTAGACCAACTTTTTTGTAATTTTTTGTTTTTTTTTGCTCAAACACTGGACAACGAAAGTATAATGGTCATTTTCCGATATGCGACCTTGTTTTAGAGCTGAAACTTGTGAGCCACAGCGTTTTAGGGTTCCCCGTGAATTTCGTTCCACAGGAACTTTTTGCGGATGACACGTACATGGTCCGATAGTCGATTTCGTAAACTTCAAGTGGTTTGAGTGCGATTCATCTTCCTTCATCTGAGTAAGGAACCGAACAGACTTTGCTCAAAAGCACCCAAAAGCTCAAGAACATTTCTTATGCACGTGCATTAACGTGCGCATCGTTCGTGGCTTTACGACAAACACCGACTATATTTCTTAACTCCCAATAACTGCGCCAATCAAGCGCTGCGGCAAGTGTAGTGGAGTAATTTTGCTAAATTTTTTTCACTCCCGCTTCAAGTTACTAGATACGCGATGATGGATTTAAGGAAAGTATTGGGTCCAGTTTCAAAATGACAAGATTACGCTCGTAGGAGTGGAAAAAATATTTTTAATGTTTGGTTGGTTGGCGGTTATTTGAGGTGGGATTAAACTTCCGACAGTCTAGAGACAGGCGTCAAAAGTAAAGGTTGTTTGAGCCCATCGTAAAAGTTGAAGTTTGTTTGTGAAAATCAGAAAAGAAAACTGACGCAAAACAGTTGAAACAGAAAAACTTTTGAAAATCCGATAAAAACGCTGTGATAAGTTTGAAATCTTTTATTTGGAGGCATTTCGAAGTATCGCTCCAGGACGAGGTAATTCACAATACGGGAAAGACGAGGAAAAGCCGTTTTTTTTCTACGATTATTTCAGAAATGACCATGTTTTGAGTGGTGATTACTAAGAAGAAATTGAGCAAAGCAAGAAAAATATTAGCTATGAAAACGCGAAGTTTTGATTTTACTAATCAAAGTGCATCTCAGAGCCAACCCAGTTTATGATGAATTTTGAATTTTGAATTTTTCACCCCTGCAATTACGTCTTCGTTTTCTAGGACTTGTCTGAATTGTTGTTCTCATTATTCTGAGCAGCAATCGCTCAAGTTGGTAAATATGCATGCTGAAGGAGAACGATATTACGAAAAAAACAATTTTCGAGGTTTTTCACCAAAATACCCTCATTATCGACAAAGTAAGCTCTATGATAGACGTTGTCTATTATAGAAAGAAACAAGATCTATCGAATGCACGAAGAACCCGCTTGACAAGAGTCAAACTAGGTTTATGAAGTTAAAGAACTGAGCTAAACTAAACTAAAAACAAGAGGTATCAAATACACAATGCTGCCAGATTTCTAGTTCGAATCGAAAAACGGGGTTTTGGAACGTTGTCAGCGTGAAAGTAGAGGCCAAGAGCTTCAATATTATACACAACTTGCAAAAACTGAATTTAACAACGGAGAACAGCAAATCACCTAACATGTCTTCATAACTCTGATCTGATTATATCTGAACACTTTCGAGTGTTGTCCAATCACAATATATCCGCAGGTCGTCATTTTTCCTTCTAGACCACACTACCATTATTGATACAAAAAAGCCCATCACTTCCTACAGAAAACGTTTCGCAAATATAGAAGGTAAAATACGATCAGCGTTTTGAGCTCCTATTTATAGGCATACATCACTTTACGAATAACCACTTCGACCAAGCGAACTTCCCTTGTTAGCAAAGTCCCGTCGCCGCAAGGGCGCTATATTACCCACAACCTACTCGACTGTACATAGCTTGCACGCGCCACTGTAATTTGGCAAAATTACTCATGCAGCGTTGGTTTTGTCGTTCTATATAGCTCTTACCTGTTGGCTTTCGAGTAGATTTACTGGTCGTCGTTGTGTGAAGCGTTGTAGTAGTAGTGTTAATAAAAAATTTAGTTTGTGATGAAGTCGAGACACTCGGATGGATAAACGATGTTGTAGACTGCACTCTGGTTGTGATCATTGTTGATGAAGTGCTATTGAATTCTTCCGGAGGATCCGTTGGTTCCGACCCTAAACAACCATTCGTTTTGCCCAGTATTGCATTTTTACAGTCTATTACTGCACTGCTGCCTTTTGTAGCAAAAATTGTCCGAAACGTACTGACAAAAAATTGTGTCTGATTTCGTTTGCAAGTACACAAAAAGGGTAACTTTTCCTGAAAATCTGTCTATTTCCTCAGCTGCAGTGGCGGATCAAAGGGGGGGGGGGCTTCCCCAGAATGTTTCGGAAAATTTTTGCAATTTACTTACATGGGTTATAAAAATGTGCAAGTGACTTGTTCATCCTTTTAAATAATTAAAATAATTTATAGAGGTTTTTAAAAACTTGAATTAACCTTTCAAAAACTTTTTGCGGCTACCATCACGCCCCTTTTTCTAGATTCTTAAGCAATGGACCCACAAAAATTTTGAGAAACACCCCGTACAATCAATCTGGCCTTCATCTGAAAAAAAATCCCTCCCCCCCCCCCCTGACCGAAATCCTGCGACCGCCACTTGCTCCCAGTAAAACAATGGTGTTGTGATCAAATTACAAGTATGTTGACGAGCTCGCTTGATGTTATAGTCAATCATCTATCATGCGCTCTATCCAAAAAATTCATTGTTAGGAGAGAGAGTATGACCAAAAGTTCCATAAATGCGTTAACTTTGAATTTTTTTGGCTTTTGAAACATCAGTCAGTAGATGCCTTCTACCGTGTACGAAATAGCTACTGACCCATCTTAATGGCAAAAATGCAGCACCGGCTATTTTGCGAAATTTGTGAATAGTGCTAATGTTTCCGAGAACATTGGTTTTTTCTTTCTTGTTATCTTATTTAGACTCTAACTGATCAAACTGGCTATATGAGAGCAGTGTCTGGGCTTATCGCTCGGATGACAATGTTTGAGGCCTAAGGCATACCTCGCGCGATTCCGGTAGCTGCGCGATTTGGCACAACAGCGATTCTTCGTAATTCGTCGTTAATGCGCTGCCTTTGGTCAGAACTTGCTCTGTTTGCAACAACATACACAAGCTACCCAAATATGCGTCCGAGAAATAGGCACGATAAATTTATGGAAATCTGGCAAATCGCCAAGTCGCGTGAAAGTGGCGATTCGCCCCAATCGCGTGAGGTATGCCTTAGGCCTGAGGGAAGAACGCCCATTCACTGTGATTTCATATAAGGAATGTTTAAAAATATTCATCGAATACAAAACAAGATATACTCAGCACAATTACAATAATTTTGGTTGTCGTACTATCGCAGTCCTCCCGCTAAGCTCACCTTTCCTCTCTCCGCCTCCCTCTCATCTGTCGGCAGAAAAAAATAAAGTGCATTTAGAGAGTGAAATTACAAGAACAGATACATCATCAATGAGCAAGTTTCGTTGGTTTTCCGTTATCCGGACTCATGACTCATCCAAGAAGACAATGCTTTTTTTCTCGCACCATATTTGGTCCCAACTTCATAGGAAAGAACGTCAACCTTCTGCCACGTGTCAAAAAAGTTTGACATACCATCTACACGTTTAACAAGTTTTACCAACAGTTTGTGTTGCCCTACCTAGCAACATACATAAGTTCAACCTATTTTAGTCAGTAATGACCCCATTTTCGATCAAACAATTTCATAAATGAACATTGTAACAATAAGAGCACCAACCGGATATCAATGAACAGACTAGACATGCCCAGAATAGGAAAGTGCGCTAGAGTTTTATCTAAGCTGCGAAACAAGCAACGAGGTACTACCTTGAGCCGATTTATAGACTTTCCTGGTTAAACCGCAGGAGAAAAGTTTGGAGAAATACATTCTTGAATCATTGCTAGAAGCAATTAAGATATTCTAGCAATGGTTCTAGATTGTTTTGCTGTTGGAGAAATCAGTTGAACTGTTTTTGGTGATTAAAAATGCTCTTTCACCTCACCGGAAATGATTTCAAAAAAAAAACATGTCAAAGTAGACTAAAAAGTGTCAATTTTTTCCTAACACGTGGAGAGGAGGCAGTGCCTGTAGAATCTATGAAAAATTGCTCTTAGGCCACAGCAGGTTTTATGAGAGCCTTTTAAAAAATAGTTCCGGAATACGAAAAAGTACCGTTTCTTTTCTGAATCGCTTAAAAATTGCCGCTCTTAGTTGTTGCAAGCTTCGAACACAAAACATTTTTTAGCTTGCGCCACCCAACTTTCTTTGTAATTCGAGTTTTTCACACGGGGAGTGAGCCATACAAAAGCCCACGGCACTGTTTTGCGGAACCGTAGGGTGCAAAAAATGCACTCAAATCCTTTATGAAGACTACATTAAACAGTAAAACATTGGTTGTTCGAATTGAGCGGAGCGAGGGCGACAAAACACTTGTCGAATCTCACCTTTCTCGAGATTAAAAAGAGGGAAAAACGGGGCAGTTCCTATTGTCAAAACCTCAGCTTTTCTTGGAGTATTGCTTTTATTTCGTGAAATGCATATGTACATTGTGTGGCAAAGTGTTCACTGAAAAGTTTGATAAAAACATAGTGTTGTCTGTCTGTTATAATAATATATGATATCGTTTGAGGGTAAATGCCTTCTGCAAAACTTTGGAAAGTGGTCATAAAGTCACTTGGTTTGCTCGCTTTGCTTGGTAACGTGGTCTCATTGAAATATGAATGGACAGTTTCCACAAAGTTTAATTTTTAAATTTGCTTTTTTACAAGACACAAGTCATATGTGAGCAAACCACAGAAACATTTCCATTTAAGAAGGACAGTTTAGTTGCTAGAGTTGTGTCCACTCTTTAACAATAAATAACCGAATAGTTGAGATTTTACACTCCTCACTCACCTCCGATTGATGTTCGCATTAGAAAGCTACATGTCATAGATATGAAATGTTATTAAAGGTAACACTTTGGAGTACGGGGAATAAGTGAAAATTTCTGAAATTTGAATACGTATGCGATCGTGTAGCACACTTGAAATTGAAAACAATATGTTATGTAAACTAATTCTTCAACCTTACATTTTCTTGCCTGTGACTGCAAGTATGTTCTGAATGTATTGTTACATGCGTTGAAGCTTTGATGAGAAAATCTTGTCAAAGTTAATATTGCAATGCTCTCTGGCTCTGCAAAAACGATAGGCGAATAAGAAAAAAAAATCAAACCTCGCTTTTTCGTCGCCGCAACGATAATGATAATTATTATTACTAACAGAATAACAATGCCTATTGCACCCAAAATCATAAAGAACCGTTTCCGTCCCAATCGATTTTGTAGATCGTCTAAAAAACAAAATCTTAGACTTAAGAGAAATTTACTTTGAACAGTCGTACCTACAACGCCTTTACCACGCCTGACCGATTTAGCTGCTGTTTTTTTACTCCATTTTACAGTGGTAGCCGCAGTTTTCTTGAAAGCCGACGTGCCGATTTCGGGTATTTTCTGCCGCATTGACTTCATTGCTTAATGAGATCATAAAGTTGCCAGGTTATCTTCATGCGAGATAAAGTGTGATACGCACACTTAGAGAGCTAATGATAACAATGTCGTACTGTTTAAGTATTTAAATATATGCTCCTGCAGTAAGAAAGTATAGTTCAGTATCCTCTTGTTTATAAATTTTTCGAAATGAGATGCAGTATCTGCTATGAAAACATACTTTAAACAAATACTTCACATATTTGTCTTAAAAACAATGAAACTAGAAGACTTTTGGATTTGGATTTCTGTTAAACATTCACTCAATGATAAGTTTTGCTTTTATGTGCTCAGCACTAAACAGCAGAAAACAATGATTTTCGTTGCTATCTGTTTTTCACAAACGTTCTTCTGTTGTCAAAAGACGACGCACTTTGCATTTTTAAACATATTTGCCAATATTCGTCCAGTGCGTTTACTTCTTCTAGGCTTCTTTTGATTCGCCCCTCTTTTCAAGATACTCCTAAAAACATCAAAGACGTACTTATTGGTGCAATAGCTCTTCCAAATTCAAGAGCACCTCTATTTCAATCATAGTGTCATAGTTTCTGTTGTCAATTCGTCGACCACATAGACTGCTCAAACGCTGCGGATCACGTGCGGCGCGGCTAGAATGTTGCGAAAGCACGACTTGTACGATGGCGATTTGTACTAGGGCAGGAGTTTTACCTCGGGTCGCTTGCTCCGCAGTGCTGTCCAGTCCGTGCGGTCAACGAATCGACTATACTTATCATTATCCTATGACTGCTAGCAAGACTCGAGTTGCAAAGGCATTGCAGGCTGTCATCGACCATAAATGAGCTTGCATTTATGGAATTGTGTAGGAATAACACAAAGTAGGTATTACAAGAGCATTTGGATCTTAAGGAGGTATGATGAAAGGAATTATCTATGTGTTGCCATTTGTTTGCTGAGTTGAGCCTGAAATGTGGGCTGGAGCAAAAAAAAGCAACATGTTGCCTTTATGGCGCTGAATGTACGGCCCTGTTTTGTGTACACAGTCGACAATTGCTGCTACAGCGCAAATAATGACTAAAGAAAAAGTCTTTCCAGAGTAGAATTTGCTATAAGTAAGTATGAGTAGTCTCGCCATGAGGAACCCATATCTGCGCTTTTCAGCGCATGAAAATGCTGAAAATGAGCTTTTCTCTAACCTTTCCAGATGCATTCAATGCAAAGAACGTGTAAGTGAGCGAAGTCCAAAACGAGGGAGGCGAAGCGCGGAAGATATTTTATTTGTCAGAGTATTATTTATTTATTCATTTTCACTAAATGCGGACTTTAAAGCTTCGAAAAAGGCTCAGTTTCGCCATTTTCGAGCGCTAAAAATTTCAGATGGTTGCTCATGGCGAGAAGGCTCGAACTCGGTAAAGCTTAACAGCGAAATTCTGCCGAGACGCTGCCAATGAATAGACATTGAGAACTATAGAGTGATAAAACTTTGCAGGCTCTGGAGAATACCACCACGAATTCTAAGAGAAAAACATACTAACGAAATGGGCAAAAGTGTTTGTGGAACGGATGGACCAACTGAGATTCAGCCTGCTTCCGCATCTGGAGCTCGTGGTTGCAACCACCGGCGACAACTTAGTAAAGCTTAGCTTTGAGATAGACAGTGGCAACTCGAAACCTTAGTGCTGGGGCCCGCTCGTTACTTAAAGACAGGCTAACAATAAGTATTTGAGTACGTAAGAAAAATTCGTCTTTGTTGAAAATAAACTGTTACATTAGGGCCGTTTAGCCCCCCAAACAGCCATGCCACAAAATCTACTTAGTTAATATGATTAACTTAACTGCAGCGTGATTTTTTTAAACATCATGTGCCCATTACGAGCATCTACAACGATCAAATCTGGCATAGCACATGAAATTTTTGTGGACAACAGATCAGCGAGTTAATGCAGATCAGTGACATCTAATTCGGATTTTTGATGAAAGATTGCATGCTAGGAGCTGTTATTTGGACAAATGTAAAATGAGTTGCAAATCATCCTGATTACTAGGACCACGCGGTACACAAGCAAAAGGAATTTAGCTTTTTAGATCTTTGCACTTATAGGTTTTTACGTAGGCCACGCAGCAAAGAATGTTCGAATCTTTGTCAGGATTACACTTTGCATTAATAGATGATAAACCTTGTAAAACATACGAGACTGCATGACTCACCTTAAAAGGTGAAGATGACTATGTTCCTTCCTTGTTAGTTTACTACCATAATAGGTTATAAATTTTTTTTATTGATATAGGCTTATTCTTGCGTCATGCTCAAAAATAGCTTCCCATTTGAGCAATCGCCTGACAATTTTTGAAAAAAACAAGTTAGTTTCAAAACTTTTGGAAGTGCCAATCCACGCTTTTGAGAGGTATAGTTCTTGCGCAAAACGCTATTCGTGGTTTTTTCACTAGTGTGTGATTAGGGGCAGCCCGAGAAACTCCTGAGAGGGTCTACAAGACGAGCGCAATTGCATGTACGCATCGGCATCCAATATAAAGCTTTGTCGCGATATCATAACGCCGGTGGTGCTATAATTGTAGGTTGTGTGAAAATATTCATGTGTCAGTACTATCAGTGAAGAGAGAAACATTAGAAGGAAAGAAGCTATTAAGGTGAACGGTAGAAAATGAGGCACTTACGAAGTAAATGGAGGTTTCTTAAGAAAGAGAAGTGATTAGACTTTGATAGATGTTAGAATATGTTATTCTCTTTCTGATAATGCCTATATAAGATCATTTACATAATTAATAATTTTTATACTTGCTGAAATGTAAAGTTAGTCACTTCGACAAATCTTGAACTTCGAGCAATTTACTTCGAGCAGTTTCTGCGCAGTAGAACATGTGAGACTACCCGAACTGCCAATATGGAATGGGTGGTGGGATAGTCACCAACACACGACGGCTTGGTGGCCTCAACTTTCAAAGTCAGGAGATATGGCCATTAGCAGCTTTGAGAACAAAAATACGCGTTATTCAATTCGTTGCAGGTGAACGCATGTTTTCTAGGTACTATCTGATAGAGCTGTACGCTTTATCCATCCATAAGCAGCCTACCTCAGATTTTATCTATCTTCGGAAAATATAGAGCAAAACATAATTTTCTGGTTTTTTATTGCGCCAAAAATAGCTATTTTTCAGGTTTTTTCGCTTTTTTTCCTCAAATTTAAAAGAAATCTCAAGCATTTAACATACCCTTTGAAAGAGCATGAAGAGCCTTCTCGAATGGTATGTCAGTTGCTTTACGACTTTACTATATAGGCGCAAGATCGAGAATTGTTCCAAAAGCTTGTCTGAGTTCATCACGGCGCCACGCGTACGGTTATGAGGGGGGAGCGGTAACGCGTTGCCAGAATAATAGGCGGAGGTCGGCCATGTATGCGACGTTTGAGTTGCAGCCTGCTTGTTGTTGGTGAGAACAAAAAACCTCAAAATGCAATAAAAATCAAGCCGCCCCATTTTTTACCGTTCACCCTAATAGATAATGCAAGGTATGCAGTCTTGAAAATGATACGTGTTTAAGAGACAAATTTTTCTAGATTAAGTTGAAGCAAAGTCATGATAAGCTTTCGAAAGATTGTCATTGAAATCTTTATATAGGAAACTTTGTGAGATAATGTACAGATTACGTGAGGTTGTAGACCCAACTTATGACACACATACTCAAATTACTCAGCGACTATGTTTTTTTTTCTTACCGGTACCGCTGGCAGCAAAATCCTAGACAGATTGTGGCCTTGTGAATCAAGGAATGTTACGTGTTTGCATAGTGATGTAAGAGTCTAAGATAGCAATCAGATTCGTCACAAATGCTTTTAATATGATGTCATGGCGCATTAGAAACACCTACAGCACAGTATTATGCCTTGGTAACAGAAAAGTGCTGACATCTAAACGAAACAAAAACTTTCAGTGTGCTTTGTTTTCAAACACTCATAATTTCAGGTGAGCGCAGCTTTTATATAGTTTTCGTTTTGTCCAGTCGTTAACTTTATTAGCTAAAGATCTGCTCAAAAACTCATCAGTAATTTGCTCAGAATTATTCTTTCCTCTTTGTCTGTTTCTATAGCCCAAATGAAACCGACTTTTCCAACCAACCCTTTCCGAATAACAGCCTCAAATGCTAGTACTTTAGCTTCTTGACGGCTTCTAAAGGAAGGCATAGGCTTGAGGAAAAATCGTGCAGTACAATTACTGCTAAAAAAGCTCGAGGGAAACAACCCTCACTGCGCTGCTTTTTGCTGCTGTTACGAAATTTTCTACCACTACTTTGGTTGCTTACATTAGATTGATAAAATTCTATTACGCTTTTTGACGAAAAAAAATTTGAAAGCTTTGTAAGCATCTCAAATTTTTCTTAGGTCTGAATGGTGACAAGGTCTATTTACAAACTTAGTCAGGCCGCAAACGCACTCATAACCATTGCTTTGCAAGCAGATTATCCCTTTCTAATTTTTCAAACTCCTTTCTTTATACTTCCGCTTTACTATAAATCTTGATTGTATTTTGCAATGTCTCCCACAAAAACGGATTTTCCAAAAGTTTTCTTTTCATGTGCTGTAGAAATATACGGAAAAGTAGAATTGGCTTGCACTTTGAAAACTGTTTCTGTCCAAAATGCTAACGAGCGCAAAAGTGGCAACTTGCAAACAGGTAAACAGACATGAATGCGCTTTCCATATCCGCCAAATGTCATGAAACAGTGCTGAATAAATACCACGTCAAGCGGTTTCCCGCTCGTAACCTCTAAGAATGGCCTCTTCACTGACAAAAAATGGCCACAAATCGGATGTTCCATAAATTGGCTGTGAACATGGAACGAGGAATTGACCGTGTTAGGGTAGAACATCGCAGTCCGCAACATGTTCTGCCTCAAACAGCCAACCTAACACTAGCATGAAGTCAAACTTATATTAAGTTACGCAAAAAACTGGAACTTGGGAAACTTTTACTGACTTTCCTCTCGCTCATGAATATACATAGATATATTGTTTACATCAGATATTCGTTTGAACAGCCGCTACCAGAGGTGCGATAGTCGGAGCCGAGTCTCCGCCTACCTTCACTTTTGAGCTGGTACCGGGTGACCACCTTCACTTTTGGGTTTGAAAAATTTTTTTGCTGAAGGTTAAAAGAAGGAAAATGAGCAAAAGGAACGCAAAAGAATGTATTGAAAGCATACATCCATGTATTAGGTCAATCTAGGCAGTAACCGCAAAGAACCAGTATTTCGAATGACAAAGTAGCGAAAAATCATGCGAAATTTCCACTGTTATAAATCTGGCGGTTGAAGATGTCAGCAATTGCGACTTCATAGGTTTTGAAGGGCAAGTGTTGTTCTACTCGATAGTGAAAAAATCGAGTCGACGTGAGCAGTGGACGCCGAGAACGAGAATTTTAAAAAATTAAGCGATTTTAGGCTGCTTAGTGACAACTGACGTTTAAACTCCTATAAATCTGGAATGTGAAGGTGTGCAATGTTGCACTTCATAGGTTTTGTAGAGCAAGAATTCCTCTATCGGATTATGTCTTAGTCGTACCGATCCATCGAGATACCGCCGAGATCCAGGCTCTTAAAAAAACAGGTAAAAAACCGCTTTTTGGACTTCAACAGCTCATAACTCCTTAAAAATTGCATGTGTCATGTTGCGACTTCATAGGTTAGATTCATCTCATCAAGAGCTTTCAGATGATGTATAATATGTGGGGGGTTCAATGATTTTTGCGGCTCTAACCCAGGGTGGAGACTTTTCACCCCAAAGTCTCCACCTCGCCCATGTTAATGTATTGGCCGGAGACCGCCAGTGGAGACTTTGGGGGTGAAAAGTCTCCACCCCCGGGCATATGCCGTGAAAGGCGCGAAACCCCCACATAATATACATCATCTGATAGCTCTTGATGAGAAGAATCTAACCTATGAAGTCGCAACATGACACATGCAATTCTGAAGGAGTTATGAGCTGTTGAAGTCCAAAAAGCGGTTTTTTACCTGTTTTTTTAAGAGCCTGGATCTCGGCGGTGTCTCGATGGATCGGTACGACTAAGACAAAATCCGATAGAGGAATTCTTGCTCTACAAAACCTATGAAGTCGCAACATTGCACACCTTCACATTCCAGATTTATAGGAGTTTAAACGTCAGTTGTCACTAAGCAACCTAAAATCGCTTAATTTTTTAAAATTCTCGTTCTCGGCGGCCACTGCTAACATCGCCTCGATTTTTTCACTATCGAGTAGAACAACACTTGCCCTTCAAAACCTATGAAGTCGCAATTGCTGACATCTTCAACCACCAGATTTGTAACAGTGGAAATTTCGCATGATTTTACGTTATTTTATTATTCGAAATTCTGGTTCTCGGTGGTTACTGCCTGGATCGACCTACTTTATTCGCAGTACCAGAATTTAACGTTATAACAAAATTTACTTAATAAAGTACGCAAAGTCTGGCTGAGTTTTACTTACAAATACACCATTTCATTAACACGTTTATTTTAAATTTTTATGCCGCTGTTTTCATCGTATTTGTGGCCCTAAAGAAGGCCGTTGGGTCATAGTTGTTGGATAGGATAGGAGAATAGCTCAATCGTCCGTTCTAAGCCCCCCCCCCCTCCCTCCCCCCCCCCCCCCGTTCGACGTTTTTGGGAGGTGAGTGTCCGGCACTACCACCTTCACTTTTGGCCGGCCAGTAGTAGCTGGTACCACCTTCACTTTTGGGGGCCCGGCTCCACCTATCGCACCTCTGGCCGCTACATCCTTCTGACAAGTAGAAATAGTAAAATGAAATATGGCGAGTTTGAGCCAAAGCATCCAGCCTTTTTATCTGGTAATCATGCGCTAAGATGATATTACAGTCGAAACAAATAAGAAGGTAGGCTCATGCAGAGGGGAGGGGAGGGGCTCGCACAAAGCGTTTCAGGTGGGCAGGGGAAAAATAGTATTGAGTCGAAAAGGAGGAGAAGATGGAAGTGGAAGTGCAAATGCGCTGCTATACTAAATATGAGTTAAGAAAAACAATAAGGCTCTTGTCGTCTAACAAGGCTACACTACACTACATACCTTTTCTGTTTCCTGGTTTCTAACAACGAATAAAGGAAGCAGATGTGCAACTGTATGCTGAAAATAGCTTGCGCATGTGCATGTGTAAGGTCAGTAGGACTTTTGGGTGAACACCGGTTTTTTGGTGGATTCCAAGTTTACGGTTGGATGAAACAACATTATGCGAATTTACTCACAATTAGACCAAAGGAGCTTGCATTTAAAAAAAGTCAAGTTGTTTGTCAGTAATGTAATTCTTATCAAAAAAATATGAGGCAACCGAATTTCTTGTAAAAAATTAATGATTTACAGAATTCGAGAGCACTTCCTAAGTGGAGCATGATAGAAAGTGATGTCTTAATCCAGATAAAAAATACAAATCTCAACATAGATGAATCTTCTATGTGCATCATTAGGCGTCGTTTCTGGTGCAAAAAAGGGTTTATGGCTGAAATACTCGTCCTGTTGTAATCTCCACAAACATTGGGTGCTCTATAGCAACCAACAAAAATCTCAAGAGGATGGAGCATTTACATTTATATACAAAAATGCACTGCGGCCATATGCACTAGTATTGTATCGATTTTGGAAAATGTCAACACTAATGAGTCAAATTCTGGCGATAAGCAAGGTGGTAAGTCGGCGTCAAAAAATGGCCAAAAGTAGCTTCTCAATACTTATTAAGTGCACGGCAGCAGGATTCCTTGCAGAAAAAAGTTATGTTGAGGCCGATTCATCTTACTTTACTCGGAAAAAAGCTACTTTTAGCACTGACACTAGCATTTCCAGCCTCAAAATGACAGAAGAATCTAACAGATATAAGAGTATTATGTTCTCGGAAGCCGCATCCGAGTGTAGTAAGATTAATCGGCCTTGCATGTTTTACCTGAGTATGTTAATTTAGTCTTATCCTCCAAAAAGTTCTCTGCAAAGCATGAAGCCGAGTTCGAAGAATTGGCCAAAGTATTAATTTGTTAAGTAACAACATCAATGATGACAATTTTGGCAGCATAGAGCAGAGTAATGTAAATATATTATAAAATGTCAAGCATCCATGGCGTCAACTCGCTGTTGATTTCTTATCAATTCTCCTGTAAGTTGCGTTGACAACTTCAAGCGCGATGAAAAACCATTCTTTTTCAGAGTCGAATATCCATGACTAAGCAGAAGGAATGCAAGGACGACTTCAACAAAAAAATTAGTATTTCTTATATGTCGGGCTACTACGTAAACGCCACAAAAGTTCTGTGCACATTCGATGCATAGTTGTTTTCTAGCGTTAGAATTTGAGCAAGGAACCAGAAAGATAAAGCAAAGCTTACTTTTCCTCGAAATTTTTTCATAACTCAAAATACACTTTACAGTTTCAGTGATGAACATTTGCGGGTACTATTTTAGGTTGAAAATGAGTTTATTGATAATTAGAAAAAATGCGAATTTCGACCTTTTTCCAGCGGTCGAATAAAATTTTCCCCTACAGCAATCAAATGCATTTTTTCGGCCCGTATTACTAAATTATGGATCATCAACTTTGAAAACTAAAATAATTTGATGATCAAATTCAAAGAGTTTCAGCAAAGCAAATTTGTAATTTGAAACAAAGTGTTCTTCGTATTTATAATTCATGCCTTCACAAATGTTATGAGACTGAGATGGAAAAGCAAAAAAACATCTGGGGTGACGCAGTATAAGCGAGTATTCAACTAAAAGTTTTTTCCTCATCGTTTTGGAAAGATGATGTAATACAGCACCAGCAAATGAAGAAACACCATTATTAATCTTCTCTATACTTTCCATCATTACGGCGCGGGGATGAGGGGGAGAATTACGAGTAACCAAATTACCTTTAATCTTGAACAAGTATGCTAGCCTCATAATAAGGAGGTAACTTGGTTGCTGTAGACTTTTAATGGAAATAAGCAAGTTCTGATCGTAAGGTCCCATTTTGTCTAAACAGCTCCTGAAAAGTTCAAAACTCCCACTAATTTGATCTAAATATTCAATTTTGAGTCAAGTTTTTCTTAAGAGAAGCTAGCTACCTAATTTAGCTCGGCCTTTTGGCAAGGCACATACATTTCTTAATCAGCTTCAACCGCTGTTATCAGCGTTTGAAGCTGATTTAGAATATGTACCTATGTCCCTTTTCTTTCATTGTACAATATGCTATTAGCTGCTTAGCACCATTCCAAAGCGAGTTATGAACTTTTTTCTGCGCGAATTTGACATACTCATCGACGAACACGATGTTATCATTACCTAAGTGCCACTACATTGCGTTAAGCTTCTTTTTGATGAGAAAAGATTGGATTTGTGTTACTTCGATATCTCAGCACTTTTTCTTGCAGATTTTTATTTACAGGAGTCTTCTCATGTTCAGTAGTATGCCGATTTCTCGCAGGAAAAAGTCCATAACTCGCTTCGGAACGGTGCTTGGCAACTAAGAATAGCATATTTGGAATCAGTGCTGAAGCTGATTCAGAACATTCATGTCCCTTGCCAGAAGATCGAGCTAAGTTAGGTAGCTTTCCTCGTTAGACCCTTCTCAAATGTTACGGCACATTTGATGGACACCGTTTTGTGAAACTTTCAAAAAATTGCTGTCACGCCTGTAAATGCTTGCCAAAACGAAGAAAAGCCACCCCATTGGTAATCGAGGGATACAAATTTAGAAATATGCAGCGATGTAAAGTTTTTGTCGCAATTTCGGTAGTGATGTTCAACTGTTGTTCAAGTTCTCACCTTCATACAAGTGCTACACTTTGTCACAAACATCTAACAAATAAATTTCTTGTCATTAAAGGGCCATAATTAGCAGAATGATGTAGCATGCATACGTTACATTGTGTACATAATGACAACGTCTTTTCTTACTCGCTTGAAACTTTTTGCGCAAAAAAGCGAAGTTTACAAGACAATTTCAAACGTAGTTGTTATGAAAACGAATTGGGCAAAATTTAAAACTTTAAACCATACGCTTGTGCAAATGCAAAATATGCTGGTACATATGCTGGTATAACATGCAAACATTTACATGCGTTTACTGTATTTTCCGGCTAGTTATGACACTGAATGGCAAATTTACCTCGAACCAACTCTGATAACACATACACGGTCACGGATTACACACCTCAACACCTCTGTGTTAGTTTACAAGAGCACTTTGCGCGATACAACTCGAAAACTAGAAATAACGAGAACATAATAATAATTCAGTGCTTTTCGGTATTTCATGTGTATAAGCATATCGTTCTTTGATGTTTAAGGATGTACTTCTGAAGCCATGATACTATACTGCTTGTTGTATGTAACTCGATGATAGTGATTCGTCGGAACCACAACATAGAATGTAGTGCTTTTGCGGTGGTGTAAACTAAGGACTATGCATTTCGAATGTGAATCACTTTTCATTGAGTTTCTTGACACAGTGATGACTCATATACTGTTTGCAAAGTAGCCGTGTTTGTCAAAACTCAGATAATAATGCTAATCGCTTGCCAAAAGTTATTATAGACGATGCGCAATAGTGAACAAAAAAGCACTAAACAAAAGAATTGAACACTGAACACCACTGGTCTGCCTACAAAATGATGGAACATAGCCAATTGTGCCCAGACTATCCGTCTGCTGCTACAATTATACTTATGTATAGAGCAGTCATTAGCCTAATTTGAATTTTTGAAAATTTTTCAAAAATTATTTTAATTATTTACAAGTATTAGGTTGTCCCAAAAGCTCTTGCGCCAGATTTTCAAAAAATCATAACTTCCTTGCCACCCGATGGATTTTCTTAATTTTAATTTCTTCTGAAAGAGGAAACCTTTCTCTTTACAGCTGTGTCTTTGCTTTGAAGCGGCGTTCAGAAGTTTTAAAGCTAGAGGCAATTGAATGAAATCAGTCAAGATCGACATTTTCAAGCTGGGTCACAAAAAATTCTGGAAGTATTTTTATCTGATAGAGTATTTGCACATTACAGTGGTACCTCTCCCATGATTTAAAAGGGAAAAGATCGACAGTTAGTAGCAAATAAAGAAAATTCCTTTAGTTTTGCAATTTTTGAACGTGCTCAAAAAAGCCTAAAAACGTCACCGAAAAGACGGAAAAGCCACGATTGTGGGTCTTGTAACCTTTTCTTTCTGACTGGGTGAGAACTGTGTCAAATGAGAGCAATTTTGTTTTTCGTGATTTTTTCGGATTTTCAGTAGTGCGTTTTTCACGAAAATCAAAAATGCTCTGGATTAGCTCGAAACTTGCTCAGCTAGAAAGAAAAGGTCACAAAACCCATGTCCATGTCATTCCCGTATTTTCTGTGACATTTCCAGGCTTTTTGAGCTTGCTCAAAAATTGCAAAACTGAAGAAATTTTCTTTGTTTGCCCCTAACTCTCGATATTTTTCGTTTTAAATCATGGGAAAGGTACCACTGTAATGTGCAAAATATTCTCTATCAAATAAAAATACTTTCAGAATTTTCCGTGACCCAGCTTGAAAAATGCCGATCTTGACTGATTTCATTCAATTGCCGCTAGCTTTGGAACTTTCTAACGCCGCTTCACAACAAAGGTACCATTGTAAAGGGAAATCCCTCTTTCAAACAAAAATAAACTTAAGAAAATATGGAGTGGCAAGGAAGTCATAATTATTTGAAAATCCGGCGCAAGAAATTTTGAGACAACCTAATATGAACAAGTCACTTGCACATTTTCATAACCCCTATAAGTAACTTTCAAAAATTTCGCGACCCATTCTCGGAGGTGGGGGGCTCCTCGGTACCTCACTGATATGTATCTATGCAGCTGTTTACGCTCTTTTCCCGTGCCAATCTCTCGATAGTCCCAAAATACTCACCGCTTTTCTTTAAAGCGTACGTCCAAACATCGTTCTCCTGAGCTACGAGTTGCAGCGCCTAAGTTTACATGCAGTGAAGACGGGAAACCTAGACTATCGTTCGTTTGTTCACGATAATCCTGCACTTACTATAAAGGCATAAGTGACTATTTCCTTTTGGCTTCAAAGCTTTCTAAAGGCTTTGAAATTTTGTTCATTGTCTGCCGTTTTGAATCTATACTAAACAAGGCTTCAGTTTGACTTGGGCAAGCCCGACTTGAATAAAATGATTTGACAGATTGGAAAGAAAGTTTTACGTACAGGGCTTATCAAACGCAGTATCGCTTGCCCCAGAATCTCCACCAGAGGTGCGATAGTCGGAGCCGAGTCTCCGCTTATCTTCACTTTTGAGCTGGTAAAGGGTTACCACATTCACTTTTGGGTAAAAATTTTTTGCTGAAGCTAAAAGAAGGAAAATAAGCAAAAGGAACGTAAATGAAAGTATTGGAAGCATATATCTATGTAGTAGGGCGATCTAGGCAGTAACCGCCGAGAACCAGAATTTCGAATGATAATATGACGTAAAATCATGCGAAATTTCCACTGTTGCAAATCTGGTGGTTGAATGTGTCAGCAATTGCGACTTCACAGGTTTTGAAGCGTAGATGGTGTTCTACCAGAAAGTGAAAGAATTAGGTCGATTTGAGCAATGGCCGCCGAGAACAAGAATTTTGAAAATTAAGC